TCCAGTTCTGTACGTAGACAACAAGGCCATGATTGCCTTGTGTCAGGAGCACAGACTGGAGCACAGAACGAAGCACATCGCTCCGCGATACTTCCTTGCTCGAGAGTTGCAGCAGCGTGGCCAGCTTCGTCTCGCGTACGTGGCCACTCGGGCCAACATTGCTGATGTCTTCACCGAGGCACTTCCGCCTGGTGATCATCAGCACTTTGCTACTCTGTTAGGCCTTGTGCCCACTTTGCCTCACTTACTTACTGCTTAACTCTGCTTGTACTGTGATCTATATATATACCTGCATGCTTGCACTTGCTAGGCTATGATCACTGTACTGTTTGTTCTCTTTATATAACTCTGCATGTGAATTGGCCTTGTGGCCCTTTGCTTGTGCTCAGACTGTGTGGTGACTTTGTGATCCACCCTCAGCTTGCTTTGCTTTTCTTGACTGGTCTTGTGACCACTTGTTCTCCCCCACTTTGCCTATGGGGGTGTGTCAGAACATTATAGCTTATACATTTGTGTAGGCTGTAGTGGGGTAGCCCATAAGGGGTACAACCCAGTTAGGGTTAGTACTTGTACCCAACTGTTTCATAGTTCATTCATTCTCGTTTGTTATTTTCACATATGGGCTGCCCCACTACAGCCTATACAATATAAGCATCATAACATTTTGACAGGCGCTGCATTTCCCGGCATTCAAGCGCATGTCGCCGTTGGGCAAGTTGATCTTGAAGACGACGAACGTGACAACACGCAGGATTAGGTGCCATGTCCTTCAACATGGCTGGTGCGGTGAGTACGCGTGTGCGGAAACACGCGGACGGGTATCAGGATCGTCACCCTGTTGTACTCTATTATTTCCTTTCGCTTTGTGTGGTGTGCTAACTCCTCAGTTGCCCAGGCACGAGCATGGCAGGGGAGTGTTGAGGTGAAGCCCTGCACGCGCCTGGTTTCGCCTGTAGCAGCCCTATGTGATGTAGAGAGGTTTCGCATACCGCATACCGGAGCTTCGGTATTCGCCGAGTACACTCCAATAGTGCACTTTGGTATGCACTGTTCAACACTGGACCAAATTGGAGGGAAGTGACGACACTGCACAAACGAGTATGTGCAACTGTCTGTTGCGAGCTGTCAGAGGTCCACTAGTGATCCCCGATTGATCCTAGGGAAGGGTTACAGGCTCGTTGTCCTTGGGGGTTATGGGCGCACTGACCCGCTACTTAACAAGCCCTTTTATCCCAGTGGTCTAGTGACTGGGATTCTGACATGGTATCAGAGCGAAGGTCTCGGGTTCGAATCCTAGTGTGTGCACTTCGGGCATCCCAGTGCGGGGGGGTGTCAGAGGTCCACTAGTGATCCCCGATTGATCCTAGGGAAGGGTTACAGGCTCGTTGTCCTGGGGGGTTATGGGCGCACTGACCCTCTACTTAACAAGCCCTTTTATCCCAGTGGTCTAGTGGTTGGGATTCTGACACGAGCACCTGCGCAACTACTCCTGGGAAGATAGAAAATCCACTTGACGGTATTTTCACCCGATGGTATTTTCACCTGGCGGTGCCAACCTGGAACCGCATACTAGAGTAGATGCTTGCACGTTCTCCTTGAACAACGTTCTTCATGAACAGCGTTCTTGTAGAACGTTCTCGTACACATCACTATGTTTCCTATAAGGTTCATGTTGTAATCTATCAATTAATCAATTTCTTGGTCCCCCACTCCCTCTGTCATTTGTGATTCAAGCAATAGAAATTTAAATAGGGATGTGCCAGCTCCAAGGTGTAGAGTCAACCCTAACCAGGACCGGCAGCCCCCTCGAGGCGTGCATGAGGTGTGAAGCCCGAGGTGGCCTGTCACGGTTCACTGAGCCCACTACACGGTGCCCTCCCCGCAAGGTTTAGATGTGGTAACCACTCCATTGCTGCCAATGGGAGAGGGCACCCAACTTGATGTCGTGATGACGTGCGCTTGACCCCTGTCGAGCTCATTTCACATATTTACGTACTGCTAAAAACGGATCACTTCCCATTCACATGTATGGGTTCAAAAACACGTGTCATAAAACAGTCATTTTGTGAAGACCCGGGTCTTATAAAAAAAATATACCAGTTATTTACACCCCCCCCATTTTTTTTGGTGTGCATGGCATAGCCCCCGGGTCTTTTATCTGGGGGTTTACGGTGTTACACTGTTTCCCCAGAAAATGTACCATGTCTTTGTGTGGGTGCAGCAATAGTTTTGCCCACTGCGCAATAGGCGTCAGTGAATACCCATAAAAATTAATTCAAAAAACACACATTTTGATAATGAACTATAGATCTGTTATACAAAAGGTTCAAACAGACACATAGAATGCTACACGCAGGCAGACAGAAGCTCTAGCTATTATAACCCAACAAGCTACACAATCTCAACAGCCTTAGCACAACACGCATCAGATTCAGTGAGAAACTGCTTATATCGAAGCATGATGAATCCCAGCTGATCCAACACAAAGTCGATCACATAAGCAGCAGTGAAGAGACCAATCAAGATGGAGAAGACAATGTAGCACCACTGCAATCGATGAAGCAGGGATAGGGGCAGGAACAAGGGAAAAAGGATGGATTTGAGACGGCTCAAAGTCGAGGGGGGTGGGAGAGGGGGGGGAGCGGGGGGGAGGAGAGAATGGGGAAGGGGGAGGAGCACTGGTTAGCAACAAGCAGCATGAACAATACAAGGAGATTAACAGATCACAAAAAAAAGGGGTCTACAAGCAGAGTCTTGAGTCGACTCAAGAGTATTGAGTCGACTAAAAAAAAAGGGTCGACAAGCAGAGTCAACTGTGTGAAGCTATACAGCTAGGTTCTTGCATTCAAAGGAAACAGAAGAAAATACGAAGAAAAACAAACAAACAAAACACGGCTGACCACTTACACCACGATCGTAGCTCGGTTGCTTGCAAGGTCAATCCCAAGGTACGTGTTGCTCCAAGTCAATCTATGAGTCGTAGGTCTTAGGCTGTGGGTCATAGGCTGTGGTTCATAGGCTGTGGGTCAACCACACACCATGCACGCAGCACTCACATCGAGGTTGTATCCAAATCTGCTGCTTGCAAGGTCAATCCCAAGGTAGGTGCTGCTCCAGGCCATTGCCACAATCAAGATTCGTCTGAAGTCAACCGCACACCATCACCATACACCCAACCACTCACATCAAGGTTGTAGCCAAATCGGCTGCTAGCAAGGTCAATCCCAAGGTACGTGTTGCTCCAAGTCAATCTATGAGTCGTAGGTCATAGGCTGTAGGTCAACCACACACCATGAATGCAGCAACTCACCTCAAGGTTGTAGCCGAATCGGCTGCTAGCAAGGTCAATGCCAAGGTACGTGTTGCTCCAAGCCATTGCCACAATCGCCACTCCCACCACCCAATGCAGCGCGAACCAATAGGGTCGCGACACATGGCTCTTGACCGGCCTCAGCTGGCCTATGATTGGCTGGAGAACGATAAGCAGCAGCACGGCCAATCCCAACCTGCCATGTGTCGACTGCAGGGAGCTCGTCCCTGATTGGACAAACGCCATGAGAATTCCGACCAATGAGAGCACGACAGCAAGGAGCATGATCCACTTGTGGGTGTTGAATGCTTGAGGCTTGGAAATCCAGGGTTTTACAATGGTTAACCCAGGGCCTATGGCCACTGGGGTAACTGCCCCTGCAAAACCTGCTGCCCCTGCAAAACCTGCTGCCCCTGCTGCTACTGGCTTTTCTCCTCCATCTCCTGCTACCCCCAGTAAAAGCCTGTCCGGTTGAACCCTGTCCAGTTCTTTGCTTCCTTGCAAAATGGGCTCAACTGACCCATCCCCTCCCTTTGCTGCTTCTTCCCTTGACGCTGCTGCTGCCGCTGCCTCTGCTGGCTTATCCGCCAGAAATATCCTCGATGTAAGCATGGCAGCAGGCATTAGAATGCCAAACGCTATAGTGAGAATCCACCCGTGCGCCGCATAGACTGTCTCGGGATTGGTTTTCGATTTCCCTGACTCGACTGTGCCTGTAACAAAGTTGATTCTAATGGAGCCTCTGGTGGGTGGAGGGTGGTGAGAGGGAGGGGGGAAGGAGGAAGTGGGGGATTGGTTTTCGATTTCCCTGACTCGGCTGTGCCTGTAACAAAGTTGATTCTTATGGAGCATCCGGCGCCTGGTGAGCAGGAAATGGGGAGCGTGGGAGGTGGAGAAGGGGGGAGTGGAAGGGAGGTGAGGTGAGACAAACAGAACAGTATCAATTTCTGTCAATAGGAACTCTTGAGTGCGTCTCAAAAGACGACTCTTGAGGCGCCTAAGAAACCGGGGCAGTGCATGGGGCCTGCACAAGCATACTATTGCCATATCTTCTCCCCCCATGCCTGCTTTTGAGGCGCCTCAAAAATAGACTCTTGAGTGCGTCTCAAAAGACGACTCTTGAGGCGCCTAAGAAACCGGGGCAGTGCATGGGGCCTGCACAAGCATACTATTGCCATATCTTCTCCCCCCATGCCTGCCCACTCACTCGTTCGGCCAGTAATCGGCCAATTCCTGCGAGTCAGGGCGTGAGAAGGCCTATTGGCTTCCCATGCATGCAACCGACTGGTTGGGCCAAGCAAGCCCCTTTCTCCCCAGCACATGCCACTCACTCACTTGGCCCGTGGTCGTCCAGTTGCTGCGAGTCGGAGTGAGAGAAGGCCCAGAGCACCCAAGCCCAACCTAACCGTACTATAGCCCCTAACCTTCTTCCCCCCCTGCCTTGCCACTCACTCGTTGGGCCCGTGGTCGTCCAGTTGCTGCGAGTCGGAGTGAGAGAAGGCCCAGAGCACCCAAGCCCAACCTAACCGTACTATAGCCCCTAACCTTCTTCCCCCCCTGCCTTGCCACTCACTCGTTGGGCCCGTGGTCGTCCAGTTGCTGCGAGTCGGAGTGAGAGAAGGCCCAGAGCACCCAAGCCCAACCTAACCGTACTATAGCCCCTAACCTTCTTCCCCCCCTGCCTTGCCACTCACTCGTTGGGCCCGTGGTCGTCCAGTTGCTGCGAGTCGGAGCGAGAGAAGGCCCAGAGCACGCTGGTGGCGCCGCTGCTGCTGATGGGGACGGCTCCCACTGAGAGGGGTCGCTCGAAGCTGTGGGGGGTGGAGGATGGGGGAGAGGGGGGAAGCAGGGAGGGGTGTAGGGGCTTAGACTCTGAGAAAGCCCAGAGCACACTGGTGGCGCCGCTGCTGATAGGGACCTCTCCCACTGAGAGGGGGCGCTCGAAGCTGCGGGAGAGAAGGGAGAAGAGGACAGGGAAAGGGAAGAGTGGTGACATTGCTGCTGCTGATGGGGACCGCTCCCACCGAAAGGGGTCGCTCGAAGCTGCAGTTGTGGTGTGGGTGTGGTGCAGAGGGAAGGAATGAGAAAGAGCAGAGTTGGAAAAGAAAGGCAAGAAAAAAAAAGGGAGAGAAGGCCCCAAGCATGCTGGTGGCGCCACTGCTGCTGATGGGGACTGATCTGAACGTGCCGCGAGGGGACGCTCAAAGCTGCGGGAAATGGATGGATGATGGGGAATAGTGGGTGAAGGAGGGGGGGAAGGGGGAAGGGGGGGGAGGGGATGGTGGGTCCAGAGGGCTGTTCAAAGCTGCAGGGAATGGAGGATGGGGAACAGCGGGTCTAGATGGGGTTTAGGGTTTGGGGATGTGCGGGCCTAGAGGGATTGATTAAAGCTGCGAGGGAATGGATGGAAGATGGGGGATAGCGGGTGAAGAGGGGAGGGGTGGGGGTAGAAGAGGATAAGGGATAACGGGGGATCGGGGCAGCAGTGTGGGGTTTAGAAGGGATGCTGGAACCCTTGACTTTGGGGTTCAGGGGACGTTAAAAGCCCAAAAGAACAGTGGGGAAGGGTGGGGAGGGGAGTGGGGATTTGAGTCGTGTTTTGAGTCGACTCAAAACACAACTCGGGGCAGCAGTGTGGGGTTTAGAAGGGATGCTGGAACCCTTGACTTTGGGGTTCAGGGGACGTTAAAAGCCCAAAAGAACAGTGGGGAAGGGTGGGGAGGGGAGTGGGGATTTGAATCGTGTTTTGAGTCGACTCAAAACACAACTCGGGGCAGCAGTGTGGGGTTTAGAAGGATGCTGGAACCCTTGACTTTGGGGTTCAGGGGACGTTAAAAGCCCAACAGAACAGTGGGGAAGGGTGGGGAGGGGAGTGGGGATTTTGGGGAAAGAGGTGGGTTGATGGATTGGGAAACAAGGCTCCACGATTCGACACGGCAAATGCGGCAAATGCGGAAAAAGGCCACACGAGCGGCACTGCTGGTGCTGCTGATGCTAAGAGGGAGGGAGAATGTAAAGTGGGGAATGGTGGGTGAGGTGAGATAAGGGAGCGAGAAAAGCCAGAGGATGGAGAAAAGACAAGAAATTATCTGTCAGGTACCTGGATCTGGATGCCAGTTTCAGGTATTGGTCCGAAAGGGCGTGCGTTCAAATCTGGCGCCCCTTTCGGACCAGTACCTGAAACTGGCGCCTTAGTGACTTTTGAGTCGACTCAAAAGTAACGAGGTGACTTTTGAGTCGACTCGAAAGTAATCTGGCGCCCCTTTTGGGACCAGTACCTGAAACTGGCGCCTTAGACCTGCTCGGCCATCCTGACACATTTGACGGGATTCCCGCAGCTCTAATAGCAAGGAAGAGCAGATGTGGTTGGTGCCCTTTCCCCCCTTTGTGCCCTTCTCTCCCTTTGTGCCCTTTCCCTAATTTGTGCCCTTTTCTTCCTTAGTGCAGGAGAGGAGCCCAAAGAGGAGGGGGGTTGAATAATCTGACAGCTGAGGTTGGATAAGGAAATCTTACAAACGCAATCTTACGAACGCCTCACACTCACGTGATTGTTGTTCTTTTTCGCTAGGTTTGCTGCAACTCCCGTCCCGACATGAATTTGGATCCTTGGGCCATCAAACGCAATCGTACAAACGCCTCACACTCACACTCACTCACACTCACTCACACTCACGTGATTGTTGTTCTAAAAACGCTCGACACTCATGTGATTGTTGTTCTAAAAACGCTCGACACTTACATGATGGTAGTTCTCCAGTTTTGAGGCGCCTCAAAACTAGACTCAGGTTGGATAAGGAAATAAGAAAACGCTCGACACTCACGTGATGGTAGTTCTCCAGTTTTGAGGCGCCTCAAAACTAGACTCAGGTTGGATAAGGAAATAAGAAAACGCTCGACACTCACGTGATGGTAGTTCTCCAGTTTTGAGGCGCCTCAAAACTAGACTCAGGTTGGATAAGGAAATAAGAAAACGCTCGACACTCACGTGATGGTTGTTCTCCCATTTGCTGTGGTGGTCGCCGTGTTGGTCAGCTCAAACGATGACGTCAGTGCCACGTCAGACAGGCCGTAGCCGCTCATGTGATAGGCTCCCACCGCCACCCCGTTGGCGAGAGTTCCAGGTGGCAGATTCCCAATGGCTGCATCAGCGGGGTACATCTTGCTGCTCTTGGACCGTCCGATCGCCACCCAACCAGACGTCGCCACCTCAGCAGCCATTGCTACTGTGGTTGCCCCGGTCTTCCAGTGGAGGACGAAACTGGAAAGTGGGAGGGGTTGTGTGAAAGAATGGGGGAGATGGATCAGGGAGAGGAAGGGTGGGGACGTGCGTCAAGAAATCACGTCAGCAGCCATTTCTACTGTAGCTGCCCCGGTCTTCCAGTGCAGGATGAAACTGGGAAAAAAAAAAGCAAGCGGGGGAGAGGAGGAGGAAGGGGGAGATGGATGAGGAAGAGGAAGGGTGGGGAAGGTTTGAGTCTGAGACGCCTCAGAAGCTGGCAAGACAGAACAGACTACCAGAACGCTTTGCCTCGGCCGGCTTGTTGCAGGATGTTTTTGAGAATTCTCAAAAACACCCTGAGTCTGAGACGCCTCAGAAGCTGCAAGACAGACTACCAGAACGCTTTGCCTTGGCCGGCTTGTCTGACATGCTAAAGACAACTACTTGCCCCTTTGCAACTACCCAAACACGCTCAAATAGCGCTCTCCCTTTCGCTTCTCGATTCTCCTCTCTCACCGCTCACCATTGCCCCTCTCGCCACTCACCCTCTCCCCTTGAGCAGAAATATCCCAGCAGAGTGGACAGCTGCTGGCACGCTTGGCTGCCAGAGTGCTTTGTCCTGGCTTGGCTTGGATACTAGGAAGGAACAACCAGGGCTTTCCGTGAAAAAAAGCCACTCACACTTCTTCTCTCACCACTCACCACTGCCCCTTCACTCACTCTTTTCCCTTGAGCTGCACGGAGCAGGCATATCCCGGCAGAGTGGACGGCTGGCACGCCTGGCTGCCACTCCCAGACGCAGCAGCAGCTGCTGACGTGGACCCCGAAGATTGGTTCCCATCTTCCTCCTCTTCCTCATCATCATCGTCATCGTCATCATCATCATTAACCCCAACGTTATCCTTGTCGCCATCATTACCCCCATCATTATCGTCATCATTGTCATCATCTGGGCTTGAGGTGCCAGCAGCAGGTGCAGTCTGACACGTGAAGTCTACATCCATTGAACCTCTGGTGGGAGGGGAGGGGCACAGCGAAATGGTATGGGACACAGTGGTATGTGAAGTGAAGGTGTGAAAGACAGCCGCACACAAAGAGGTGCAGTCTGATACATAAAGTCTACACCTCTGGTGGGGGGAAAGGGAGGAAAGCGGGGGTTTGGATTTTGAGACGTCTCAAAACTAAAGCGGGGGTTTGGATTTTGAGACGTCTCAAAACTAAAGCGGGGGTTTGGAAGGTATAACGACAGGGACAGGGGTGTGTGAAGATAGGCGCTCGTAGACAGAAAGGGCATAAATAATATGTAAGATAATAATATTGCTGCGGTTCGTAACCACAACTCCGTTCGACAGGGTCTGTTGGAGACAGGAGTGTGAAAGACTGGGGCATAAGGGCAGGCGCACACAAAGAGGTGCAGTCTGTCGCGTGAAGTATAAATTCATTGAACCTCTGGTGGGAGGCGAGGGGCTCAGCGACAGGGTGTGTGAAGAAGACAGGCGAATGAAAGCACGGACACAAAGACGGGTGCAGTGCAGTCTGACACGCGCCGTCTACATTCACTGAACCTCAGATACTTACTCTGTTGTTGCTGTGGAAGGCCAGCTCTGATTGGCGCAGTCTGACCCGTCCACGTTCATTGAATTTCGTATAGCACTCACATACTTAATTGCATTGCCTTGCCACCATAGTCTATTTTTTCAGGCGCTTATAAATGCAGCCTGGAGCGTCCACGTTCATTGAACCTTTTCCAGCACTCACATACTTCATTGCCTGCCACCACAGAACGCCAGCTCCGTTGGGTGCAATGTGAGAAGCACTGTCCATGTTCATTGAACGTTTGGTACAAGTGACTTACTCCCACCGTGGAATACAAGCTCTAATGGTATAAGCATGTGTATGACACGCACCGACTACATTCATTGAACCTCTAGGAATACTCACGCGTTGTTGCCGTGGAAGGCCAGCTCAGTCAGGTCAGGTGCAATCGGACACATGCCGTGACCTGTCGATTACATTCAGTGAACCTCGTGTGGTACTCACGCGTTGTCGCCATGGAAGGCCAGCTCAGCTGACCCAGACTCAGAGAAAGCCCAGATGAGGCTGTTGCTGCCATTGAAACTGACTGGTACTGCCCCTCCGTCCCATTCTGATCGAGAAAACCTGCAGGCAGGAGAGGAGAGGGTGGGAGAGGAAGACCAGGAGAGAATGGTGAGGAAGACGGACTCTAGCATTCATACACAACCGCCATCACAATTCCCCCTCACCTCGTGTCATCCACACCACATCCACATCACGTCATCTCGTTTCACTCCACTCACTTCAGTATCGTGCCGCCGTTACTTCCAGCTGTCAACTCAGGCGTCCCAAACGAGAACCCATCAGAAGGCGCCACGTCAGACAGGCTGTATCCGCCGATGTAATACGCGCCGACGCTGCTTCCAGGAAGGTTCCCGACCACGCAATCCGCGGGGTACATCCGGCCGCGGTTTGCCGTCCAGCCAACGGAGAACCAGCCGGCCTCGGCCCCACTAGCGGGTTTGGCTTCTAGCGCGACCTGCATGCGCAAGGCGTTGAGGGTCCAGTGCAGCACGAGACTGGGGGCGGGGGGTTGGGAGGGGGGACGGGGGGTGGAGTGGGGTGGAGGGAGGAGGTTGGGGGAGGGGGAATGTGGGGAAGGATTAGGGTCGTGCGAGTTGGAGCTGCAGGCATTAGACGTTGCGCGCCCGGTGCAGCACGAGACTGGGCGTGGGGAAGGCGGCCGGGGGGGGGGGGAGGGGAGGGGAAGGCGGAGATGGAAGGGGAGGAAGAGGTTTGGGGGGGAGGGGGGGGAGAAGGGGTGGGGGTGGTGGAGGCGAGATAACTGACTGCAGGTTCAAACGAGGAAAGGGATGAGGATCCAATTCCCCAGAAACAGGACTAACTAAACTAATGGTGCAGCCAGGTTTGGTCGCGTTTCTTAGACGACCCGTCGTCAAAGAAATATATTCATATATCAGATTACCCGTCGTTCCGTTGAGTCAACGCGAGTCAAGTCAACGAATCCCGGAATCAAGTATTTCACATTGCACGACCTGGCGGCGCATGAACCCGCACTTGACCGAGTGATTCATTGCAATCTAAGCGGGTGCTTTCAATTTGTTTCCGTACGTTAATCAAGTCATTTACACGCGGCGACTCACCCGTTTCCCGACAGATCTACGGAATTGACGAAGCCTGGTAGGGACGACGGTTCGCAAGACGACGCGTGATCTACGGAAGCACTGACCAACAGGAGGAGCATGGCACGTGCCAGCCACGCTTCGACCGAATGCACCGTTGATCTAGTCATGGCGAGTCGCCGGGTTTCGTGGTTTCGCGGGCGATCTAGAGGAGATTGTTACGAAGCGAATTAAGATGCGGACCGAGTCGCAGCTGGTGGTTAATTGTAACTTTCGGCGTGTTTCCCTTTTGCAATGCAGCAATGAAATGCGCGACTCTGCAGCACGCTCTAGTGAAGCCCCCTTCACGAATACCCGGGGAATAAGGGCTCGAAACTCTACCGAGCGCGGCGACATAGGACCGTGTGCGGCTGGCTTCATGGCTACGTGCGGTGTCTGGTCTGGAGACTGAGGGTTCGACCTGGGGAAGGCGGGATCTGTTTGGATCTAGACAAGTAATTGAAGGGAAGTGCATTATTCAGTGCTGGTTTGGGTTGATTGTGGGTTTAGTGGGGTTGAGTGGGTGCCAGCTGAAGGAGGGTGTGAGCCTTTTCCAGCGCTCAATACCCTACCCAACCGTTTTAGAATGTTAGTTAAAACAAAAAGCATCCCACTGAGCCACATTCAAACGTGTACTCTTTCGACATGCCCTAAAGACATCTGGCGGTGGCGGTGCGGCTCCATTGAAGGGAGGTCGAAAGTGCATGGCAGAGGAGGCGATGCGCGTGCAGTGCGGTATTTGGCTGTTGCCAGCATTGCAATGGGCGTGTGCCCGTAACCACAAATGACCAATGCGACCCGGGTTTTGAAGGCTGTGACACATGTTACAGATAACGTCGGTGGTATTTGATTGGACAGCACGAGCATTGCGCGCTTGCAATGGTTTCCCTCCGGCGTTGGATAAACACCGCAAGCAAAAGATCGACGGCCACATTTTCCTTTTAGTGGTCGCGTAGTGGCTGTTTCTCTAAAGATACTCTCGATTCTCTTTTTCCTCTTCACTTCTTTATACGTGTTACGATGAGATTCCTATCAGCCAAATTTACTTCCTTGCGATCCGCCATGGATTCTGTCAGGCACTAAGGAAGCCTCAATGTCTACAAATTTCCTATCAGTTACTAATTCTAAACGCGGATTCGGAATCTACATGACAAGACAAACAAGAAGATACTCTTTATGTGCTCAAATGTCGAGCATTGTAACTTCAAGTTTTTTGTCAGGCACTCCGTCACCCCCGTTGTTAACTACTGGAAGTGATCCCCAGAAGGTTTTCCCTATGCTAATGTCAGAAACTTATATTCCCGAGGAGACATCAGACACAACAAAGATTCTACCGCGATTAACTAATACCAAGGAACACTCAACTACCAAGGACAACGGTTTCATGCATCATCAGCCAAGGAAGAAAATAAGGCATTTGCAGCTACATCGCGGCTATAAGAGAACGGTGCTCAGAGCAGTCAGTTTAAACCACACATTTACGCGTGCTTCATCAAGCCTCGGTCGCAGTTTCTCCAGCTCTCATCATCGCACCATGCCGCGTGTGACGAAGAAGACTGTCAAGCCGGTAACCAAGTCTGCGGTTTCTGAAGTGATGGATCTGGCAGCTAAGGGACATCAGTCAGAGCGGGCTACGCCGAAGCCGCAGTTGAAGGATGTAGAAGGTCCTTTTGACGGTGGTGTGCGCGCATCGCTGGCGAAGAGGCTGTCGGCACTTAAGTTTCCTTCTTCGGATGCGCCTGTTGGAGATGGGGAGAACAACGCTAACGAAGGACAAGGAAAAGAGGAAGAGGTGAATTCGCCGACCGCTGCTCCTGATGCACCTGAGGAGGGAAGTGAAGACGAGGAAGAAGAGGATGACGGGTATCTCAGTAATGATCCTGAGGAGCGTTTTGACCCGGTGAAAGCTGGAGAAATTGCTGCGCGCGCGGGTTTCTCCATCACGCTGCTGGTTCCGATCAAGTACGAGGAGGAGGTTCCCCGTACTATCGACACGGTTAAGGGACTCCTTGCGTTGTGGAGGAAGTTTATGTCGGCTCACGTACTGACGACGACAAGGTGCCAAGTCCTCTTGCCGGCGTGGCTGTCAAAGAAGCGGTATGGGAGGATGCAAGTCACTTTCCAGCAAGCATCGGACGCGAACTACGTGTGGTGTCGTCAGATCCAGCACAAGATGTTGAATGAGGAGAGCATTTACCTGGACTGGCAGCACCCGGAAAACCCGGTCTACATTCAGGAGCGAGCGACTAACCCGGACTCCATCGAAGTGCTGCTGAAGAGTGTCCCGGCGGCTATTACGTCGGAAATGGTGTATGAATACCTGGTGAAGACGGTGTTGGAGAAGCGGGGTCGGACGCCGTTCCTCAGTGGGGCTGCCTTCCACAGGGTGGTGGATCCGGTTACCGGCGCAGATACTGACAAGATTCGGGGTCTGGTTAAGGGACACCCGGGGGATAAGTATCGCTGGTGGCATTTGTTGGTCGACTCAGTGCATCACAAGCAGCTCCTCGTGCATTACCCCTCGCTCACCTGTGATTTCTGCGCTGGCATGCATATGACGAAGTTTCACGATGATTTTGTTACGGAGCGGCAGGAGAACATCGGCAAGTGGAACCTGACTCTCGAGCGTCTGCACGCGATCAACGGTAAACCATCAACCACTAACCTTGCTTTTCAGGCTGTTGGGGCCCTGTTCGTCCCTGCTGACGGTCTCGTCGCCTTATACCTGAGCAGCTGCGTCCCTGCCTTTAGACGTGCGGGTGAAGAAGATTTTGCGCGATCCTGCGGTTGTTTTGGTCTCCACGGGAGGAAGCAGGGAGGATTGGCTGTGCGTCCAGGAGGCGTGCGGCAAGGCGCACGGATCCAGTTTTACGCAGGCGCTAGCGCATGTGAAGTCGGTGCAGCACTGTACAGCTATCCTGCAGGGGGACGCAGCAAGCAGGAAGAGCAGGGGGAAAATGAATTTCCTTCCGATTCGCAAGGAGTTTGGGCTGTAAAGGAGACAGTGCAGGGAAAGACGGCTGTCCGGAGTATTCATGACCGAGGCAGACATGGCAAGCGAGAAGTAAGGAGGTTACCTGATCGTGGTGCGAGGATGTGCGTAGGAGTTTTGTTGTACCAAGCCCGTGGATGCGAAGGGGCCCTGTCTCAGTGGATTAATGGATAACACCCGCAATCTCACACTGTGCGAGGTCAATGTCAATGGCCTCGGAAGCAACGGCAAAAGAACTGCACACGCAAAGTGGATCAGAACAGTTGCAGACGTGGTGGTGCTCACAGACACGAGAATCAGAGGAGATCACAATTTCTGGACGTAGTTGAAACCCGCCTCGGTAGCGGTGGTGGGAAACAGTGAACGAGCAGGAGGGGTGGCAGTGTTGTCTTTCAATGAGGAGATTAAGCTCACAGAGGCGATTACTCACCCGTCGGGGAGATTGGTGGGAGTCACGGTGTCGTGCCCGCAGATCTCCTTCAGGCTGATAGCGATGTACCTCCCGGCGCAGCCGTGTGCCAGAGGAGTCTTTTTCCGGAGCTGCCTCCCGCTGTTTGTCCAGGCTCAGCCGGCGCACGCTCACCTGGTGGTTCTGGGAGACCTGAATCTAGTGGAGGACCCCGACCTGGACAAAACATCGCGCTCGGGCTCGGGGAATGAAAACCAAAGGCTGCTGAGTTTCTGGAGAGCAGAGGACCTCAGAGACGCATTCCGGGTCCTACATCCGAGCCGTCCGGAGTACACCTTTAGAGACAGGGCGACAAAGGCGAGCACTCGCATCGACAGGAGCTTGGTGTCGTTCTCGTTGCTCGGGCTACTGGCGGATGCGCGCCACGTCAAGATCCCAAGGGGGCTGTCGGACCACTGGTTCGGCATTAAGGTAGCGCTCGCGGTGTCGGCGCCGGAAGATCAGGGCCCTGGCATGTGGAGGATGCAGGCAAAGCAAGCACGACGGAGAGGAGTTAAGACGGTGACAGCTAGCATCCTTAAGAAATTGGAGAACGAGGAAGAGATGGACCTGGGAAAGAAGCTGAAACTGCTCAGCATGGGCCTGAGAGAATACTCACGGGAGGAGCGAAAGAGGGTGAAGGCGACGGTGCAGCACCTGGAGGTAGTGGTGGAGCGACTGAGGCACAAAGTGATGCGATATCCGGGAGACAAGAGAGCACAAAACAGGTTGATGCGGAAGGAGGCGCACCTAGGGGCTTATCTCCAGAGCTGCAAAGATCGGATGCAAGTGTTAGCGGGAATCAAGGTGGAGCTCACCGGAGAAGTCCCATCGCCATACTTGTCGGCCAGAATCAAAGTACGGAAGAGACGGACGGTGGTGCGCGAGATCTCTCACCATGGAGTGGTGTACCAGGGGACAAAGGAGGTGCTGAAGGCGGCAGCGGACCATTTCAAAGCTGCTTTTGGCGAGGTGCTACCAGAGGAAGAGGTGGACTGGGGGACTTTCTCGGAAGGCGCCAGATTCTCGGAGACGGATGCAGCGCTCCTTGGGGCAGACTGGACGGAGGAGGAGGTCAAGCAGGCGCTGGTGAGCCTCCCGAAGAGGAAATCTCCCGGGCAGGACGGCTTGCCCGCGGAATATTTCATTCTGCACTGGGATCTGCTGAAAGCACATGTGATGAGTTTTGTCGGGGAATTCGCCAGGAAGGCGAGTATGCCGGAGAGCTTATCGACAGCGGTGACAGTCCTGCTGCATAAGAAGGGGCCAATAGATCAGCTGGGGAACTACCGCCCCATCACACTTCTGTCAGTCATGTACAAGGTGGTTACAAAAGTTATGGCTACAAGGCTCAAAAAGGTGCTGGGCAAAGTCCTGTCAAAAGAACAGCACGGCTTCTTACCGGGGAAAAGCCTGGCGGACGCAGTATCAGTGGTAGCGGATGCGGTGGAGGCAGCGAACAGCGGCAAGGAAGATTGGCTACTGCTGCTGGTAGATTTCCAGAAGGCCTATGACACGGTCTCGAGGGTCTTCCTTTTCAGGGTCATGAAGGAGCTGGGGGTGCCTGACAATTTCATCGGCTGGACCAGGGGCCTGCATGCAGACGCAGGGACAAGGTGATGAGAAACGAGGAATGAAAATGACTAAGTGAAAGTTGGGTACAAGAAGCAAACCCTAGAAAACTGTACCCCATATGTGCTACCCCACTATAGCCTACTGTAGCTATGTCATATAAATCTGACACACCCCCATAGGCAAAGTGGGGGAGAACAAGGGGTCACAAGACCAGTCAAGCAAAGCAAAGCAAAAACAAGCTCAGGGTGGATCACAAAGTCACCACACATTCCGAGCACAAGTTCAAGGCCACAAGGCCAGTTCACAAGCAGGAGTACACATATATATAAAAAGGCTAGACAAACAAGAGCAGGTATATATATATGTAACAGTACAAGTAAGGTCAAGAGGTGAGCAAGTGAGGCAAGGTAGGCACAAGGCCCAGCTGAGTACAGAAGCGCTGATGGTCACAAGGCGCAAGTGCCTTGGTGAAGATATCAGCAGTGTTGGCCTCAGAGGCCACGTACGCAAGACGCAGCTGACCACGCTGCTGCAGCTCACGAGCAAGAAAGTAGCGGAGAGCAATGTGCTTCGTTCTGTGCTCCAGTCGCTGCTCCCGACACAAGGCCAGCATGGCCTTGTTGTCTACGTACAGCACTGGAGGAGAACGAGGCAACTCTCCGAGGTCAGTCAGGAGGTAGGTGAGCCAGCGAAGCTCCTGTGCAGCCATGGCTCCTGCGTAGATCTCAGCCTCACAACTGGAGCCGAGAACAGAAGACGAGCGAGTAGCCCGCCACGAAACAGAGCCGGAACCAAGGCTGAAGGTGTAACCCTGTGACGACCGCTGCGTAGCCTGGTCGTCAGCCCAAGAAGCGTCTGCGTGCCCAGTAAGGACCACTGGACTCTGCCCTCCAAGCACAAGCCCCATGCCCGACGTACTGCACAAGTAGCGCAACACCCTCTTAGCTGCAGCCATGTGCTCCGGTCTGTGTCTCCCAGGAGCAACATAGCGTGCAAGAATGCTAAGAGGGTATGCAAGGTCAGGTCGTGTGCAGGTCATCAGGTACATGAGGCAGCCAACAAGCTCTGGGTACGGGCCACTCGACTCTACGGACTCATCCGAAGGCAGAGCTGAGAGCGAGTGGCGAGTAGGCAGAGGAGTGGCCTGAGGCGAGGAGTACGTGAAGCCGAAGCGCTGAAGGACCTGCTGCACCATGTGTGACTGAGTCAGGGTAATGGTGCGGCGTGCTCTGTCCCGAGTGATCTGCAAGCCAAGGTAGCTGCGCAGTTCACCCAGGTCAGTGCACGTGTGTCTCTTCTGCAGCTCGGACTTCACGTGGGCTAGTCCAGCAGTGTCAGCTGTGGCAAAGACCAAGTCGTCGACGTACACGAGGATGTAGAACGGCGGCAAAGAAGTGTCGGTGCGCAGAAACAGCGACGGGTCGGCAGTAGAGGGAGCAAACCCAAGAGCCGCAAGTGTAGTCCTCAGTGTGTCGTGCCACTCACGCGGTGCCTGGCGGAGACCGTAGACTGGCCGCCGTAGGCTCCACTGGGTGCCAGGAGGAAAAGACCCAGTGAAGCCAGGTGGGCGACGCAGCCAGATCTCCTCGTGCAGGCTGCCCTGCAAGAAAGCAGTGCTGAAGTCAAGAGAGTGTAGCTCGTAGTCACGGTGAGCAGCTACGTGCAGCAGTACCCGAAGAGTGGTCATCTTCGGGGTGGGAGAGAAGGTCTGAAAGTAGTCAACTCCCTGCCGCTGACTGAAGCCACGAGCCACGTAACGCGCCTTGAAGACAGGCGGAGAACCCGGCGGTCGCTTCACCCTGAAAATCCACATGCCACTGACGATGTTCGCCCCAGGAGGGGGAACAGCGTCAACGTAGGTGCCTGTGGACTTCCAGGAAGCCATCTCTGCATCCATAGCTGCCTGCCACTGAGAGGAGTAGGGACCCTCTATCGCCTCCGCGTAAGAGCGCGGAGTCGGGATGTCAAGTGCATCCGGGTCTCCCTCAGGGGTAAGCAGTACGGACACGAGATGAGGTGAAGCAGCGGCCAAGCACTGAAACTCCTCCTGCCTGTCCTCAAGGACGTCCGTGCCAAGGGCACACTCACCCCCGACGGACGGAGGACAGACAGACTCAGACTCAGCAACAAGACTGGCGACGTAGTCTAGGCGACAGTGAGCAGCAAAGTCGACGAGCTCAGCAACTAGGGCAGACGCAGCAGTGGACTCAAAGGAAGGGTCAGTGACAACCGTAGCAAGGAGACGCGTGACAGTAGGACTGGCAGCGCGAAGAGAGTCCGACTCCGGGTCGGCAAGAGTAGGAAGAGAAGACTCAGGAGGAGAAGGCAAAGGGGCACGCAGAGGAGCAGTGGACGGACGCAGAGACATCCGGTGCGTGCCAGGGACAGGAGGAGGACGCTGACGCGAACCGCGACCACTAGTGCGAGCAGCACGGACAGGCGACGCAGGGCGAGACGCAGGCTCACGACGCTCAGCAAGACCTCCAGTAGGACCAGTGTAGGGAGACGGAGCAGGCAGTGGGGAGGCCGGCTGTAACTGTAACTGCGACGGGACAGGCTGTGGACACTCTAAGGGAGGAGGAGGACCAGTGGAAGGCGGGAGACCAAGAACCTGCTGAAGGAGCGGAACGAAGTACGGCCGAGGCCGCGCGGCGACTCCAGACACAGGAGGGACAGCACCAGCACCCGTAGCAGCTCCAGCTCCAGAACCCCCAGCAGCACCAGTAGTACCCCCAGCAGGACCGCCTCCAGGACCGACAGCAGTAGCCTCCGCGCCAACACCCGCAGCAACTCCAGCTCCAGAAGTACCCGCAGGTCCAGCAGCTCCAGTACTCCCAGTACGAGCACCTCCGGGACCCGTGGCACCAGCTCCCTCAGAAGCAACAGAACCTCCAGTACCCGCAGCACCTCCAGCTCCAGCAGCTCGCCTCCAGCGCCGGGCAAACCACTCACGCAGCTCCTGGGGAGAGAGTGGCTCTCGG